TTCATACATCATCGTAACTCATGCAATTTTTAGCCTATCCTATAGTAAGACTACTTACCTGGTTGGCCTTAGCCGAAGTATTCCCTAATTTATTTAACGTAAGCTCCCGTTCCTCCAGAACTACACAAAATGTTGCCAAAGTTTGTTTCCTATGCATCGTTCGTCACCTTTTGTTAGTATTTCACATTTTAATTAATAATCCAACTAACCGTGTGAAATACCATCGTTCGTCACCTTTTGTTAGTATTTCACATTTTAATTAATAATCCAACTAACCGTGTGAAATACGACTCTAAACAGTCTCAATAAAAATCGAATTCCATGTTTTCATTGTTTCCAAATTATATAGGATAAGAAAACTTAAAACTTAAATTAATAATATGTCAATATTATTAATATTTCAAGTGGCTTGTATAATTCAACATTTAATGCTATATCCTATAGATACAAATATAATAATTTCTCATATTTTCCATTTTTCTTCCCTCACTCATTTCTCTTCTATGTTATATTTTAATTCTATTTACACAGTACTTGCAATTTTCAACTCGTTCTAATTTTCTTTTTTTTCCTAATATCTTCTCTCTCTCTTTTTTTTGCACTCTAATTCTTTTGAGCGGTTCAATTCTACCTCCAATTATTTTAAGCAATTTAAATCTAATTATTTTAATCACTTTCTCGAACGAGTTTAATTCTATAATTCTTTTAAGCGGTTTATTCCAAGGGTTTAATTTTACTCCTATATCTAAATAGTTTAATTCTGTTTATCAGTTTAATTCTATTCCCACATTTTCTTTGGCTTTACTATTCCCGAATCTTAGTTTTTTTTTATTTGACTATGTTTTCCAGATCTTCCTTTTCATCCTATTTGCCAAATCTTCGTTCTTCTTCCCACATTTTCTTTGGCTTTACTATTCCCGAATCTTAGTTTTTTTTTATTTGACTATGTTTTCCAGATCTTCCTTTTCATCCTGTTTGCCAAATCTTCGTTCTTCTTTTTTTTTATTTCAATATGCTTTCCAGATCTTCCTTTTCATCCTGTTTGCCAAATCTTCGTTCTTCTTTTTTTTTTATTTCAATATGCTTTCCAAATCTTCCTTTTCTCTATTTTTCCTTATTTAGATTCACACGATTACATTCATTCTCGGTTTGACCATTTGACAAACACGTCGAATGGATTAACTAAGTTTCAGACCGCAATTTAGTAGGAGGTGCCACAAATATAGTTGGCCACTCTCCAGCCATTATTAAAATTGAGTTATATTTAAATAGGAAATCGGTTCAGAATATTGGATAACCTGAATAAAAGGCTCAGTCAAATGTTTATCATTCTCTCTCTTTCTTATTTTACTCATTTTATTTTTTCTTCATTTGTAACTCAGATCTAAATAATTGCTAATAGGAAAAAGGTAAATCTTGCTAACCTTTTCAAATGACATTTCTCTTCCTCTACCTACCATCTCTCCATTATCTGCCTTCCTTCAGTATCTCTCCTATAACCATCTCTCCATTATATGCATTTTTTTATTGATACTAGATGATGGAGGTATTTTAGGGGATGGCTGGAGAGATAGGAGGTGGTCAGTTTTTTTTTTTTTT